GGGTTCGACATCCCCGGAACTAGAAATAAAATCTACTCTAACATAATAAATAAAAAGAAAAAATAAATAAAAGAGAGAGATTAAGAGCATGTTTGTTTATAGAAATTTTTGGTTTTGTTTGGATTTTTTGGTTTGGTTTGGTTAATTTTAAAAAAAAGGTAGTATGGTTAGTTGTTAGTGGGTATATTAAAATATCACTGTTCTAAAAGTCGGCCTAGGCGCTAGGCGGTGCCCGGGCGCCTTCGATTTGCACAAATCGGCCAAAAAAATCGGCAAGGCGGCTAGGCGGCGCCTAGGCGGCTCTAGGCACTCCTAGGCGGCCTAGGCGGGCTCAGCAGCCAGGCGGTTAGGCGGCGCCTAGGCGGGCGTAGGCGGATCTAGGCGCTCCTAGGCGGGCTCGGCGGCAATTTTTCAGTTTTTTTTTTTTTAAATACTAATTACATTATTTTGTTCTCATGTTTTCTTTAAAATATATTAATATTATTATTTGGACTTAGGTGTGTCGATTTATTATAAGTTGAGATACTTTTATTTTGTTAGTAGTTAAATAAATAAAAAATTAGGTATTTAATATTGATTTCTAGGCCCCGACTAGGCCCAGCCTAGGCGCTCTAGGCGCTAGGCGCTGGTCGAGCGCCTAGCGGGCGCTTAGAGACTTTTAGAACACTGAAAATATTATTTAAAATAAAACAATTAAAATGATTTGATGAAAAAGTAGGAGAGAGATGGTTTGATGTGATGGTTAGTTCAAATAATGTGAGTGAATGAATAGTGAATTAAGGTTGATGTTGTGTGTATGAATGATTGATTGATATTATTTAATTATATTGATAATATTGATGATAGTGGGGTTGAGTTAATGTTGAGTTTAAAAAAATAGTTTAGTTAAAATGTTAGAAATTTTTGAAAAATTTCCATAAACAAACATACTCTAATTATCTCCCTCGTGTACGGGGTACGGCCTCCCACCGCGATTGATCGGTTCCTCGCGTTTGGTCTCCCTGTTCTCGCGTATGGCTTTGTGTTCTCAAATAAATCTGTTTTTTTTTTTTAGTTCTCTGGCGGCTGAGTCCAGATGTCCCCCCAATTAATTTGCATCGGCACTATATAAATCCTTTCCCAGGCATGTTTAAGACTTCCAAGTTTCCTTAATTAAAATCTTTCTGTGAATGACCCATCAATTTTAATGTTCCTCCAAGTAATTTCCACAGGCTTTCCATGAATTGGGCTCGTTCATTTTGGGCCTACTCTTCAATATTATGACCATTATTCATCATTACTCCAATATCCTATTTTAATCTTGAGCCTAAATATGTGACCTATATTAGGCCGAGTATAGGGTACCTGCTCTGTTGGTAGCAGAATATGGGGCACCTCCATACTGCTCCGAATGAAATTTCTTCCAATGTCACGTCGCCGTCGAAAACACTCCAATATCCTAAAAATAAACCACAAAAATATCAAAGTACAAGAATTCATCTAACAAATTATTAAGTCGAAAGACATATAAGTGCGACAAAATTAAGCATATAAAATACGCTAATAAATATATAAAACACGCACATTTTCCGACCAATCACAGTGCCGCCACTCTCTGCCGCCGCATCGCGCTGCTGTCTCGTTCACCACGGCTTCACTAAAACATCACAGTCCAATCGGCGCCTCAGTGTCGCACAAGACAACTTGAATATCGCGATGCTCGCCGCCACTCTT